ATGAGAAATATAATTTGAAAAAGTCACAATAAGCTCCTAAAATGCTACTACAAGTAACGTCAATAATTTAATTTATAAACTAATTTATAGTCATTCAAACATATATCCAAAAAATAACTACTTTATAAATTAACTTATTTTTTTAAAGAATACCTTAAATTTTCAAGACAATTTATATTTGGTCCCCATAATTATAAAAGTGATTTTTAGAAACTTTTTTTTTTACATTTTTAACCCTTCTATAAATTATATTCATCTTTTAGAGTGCATTTGATACATTAAACATAGACATGACAGAAAATACTGTCTCATTTTTTGTATAAATTTTATGTGAAACAGACAAGAACAAAATGGAATAGAAATGTTCTACCCTACCGGCCTACCCTATGAAACATAATGAAACAGGGACTTCTATTTTACCAAATACCAATATTAACTTGGTTATCTTCGTTATTTTGAATGAGAAATGGGAAAGAGGTGAAACGATACCAAAAAAATCCCTTCCATTCCAGGCATACTCCCGCCAAAAATTCTACCCGAACTAGGGTTTCCACCATCATCTATTTTGAAACCCATCGATCACATACTCGATTTTTCGATTACAACTAGTTGTATTACTCCAGTTTGTTTGGTACCAATCAATCGAATAAGACATTGCAGCCATGGAGATGGATCAAGAACAGAATCACGATGCTGAAGATGATCCATTCCTTCGATTTGTTGATTATGCGATATCTGTACTATCCCCAACTGAAGATGAAGATGTAGTTGATCAAGAGTCAAATAGACCAGCGTGGAGCTGGGTTGCGTGTCGGGTCATCAAGACTTGTAAAGCTTATTCAAGTGGAGTCACCCCTGCCATTCTTCTTTCTGAACTATCACAGGTTCTCCCAAACAAATATAGAGTTTTGGTTTCAATTTTTAATTTCTGGATGGATACTGGATACACGTTCAGGTCATGTTATTACAGCAACTATAAATGTTAGCATTAAAGCATATTCCTCTCAATTGAATTGAAATTCTATTGTGTAACACAATTTGTGATCAATTGCTGTATCAGATTTTTGGTCTTCTGTAACATAAAGAGGAAATTTTCATATAGAAGCTGTGCCCCGACTTAACTTTTTGAATTTTGTATAGATTCTTGGTATGGGTAAGTGTTATCTTAGTGGAGAGCTAGAACTGTAAGCACTTAGATTCAAATTAATAAGATGCACGTTTTTCGGTTGTATTTCATGAAGGATAGAGAATACTCTGTGACAAGATGAAGGTGAATTTTATCATCATACGGGGCTGAGAATAAGACTGACAAAATTCTATTTTGTTCTTTTGTGTCTTTGTTACAATTTTCAAACTTGTTTTTTCAGGCATGGGCTGAGAATCAAAGAGGTGGGTACTCGAAGAAGAGAAGGCCAGAATGCATTGATCAGTTGCAAAAGAAGCATAAGAGAGGGAAGCTTCCTAACACAATTACAATCGATTCAATTTATGAGAAGAATTTTTTGTCATTGACTAGTGTCCTTGAAGCTGTCATAGTTGATGCTTTTCTTCTTCCAGGTATGTTTAAGCCTCATGTCGTTGAATGTGAACATCGTCTACCTTACATCATATGCAAAACCTTAAGTTTATTGCATATGAAGATATGTTGTCTCGGTCATTAACTTCTATGATTGGCATGAAAAGTTATTTTAGGGACTGGTGTAAAGACATAAATGATTCAGCTTGATGAAGCTTCCCGTTCTGTGAGTAAAAAAGTATTTGTCTGGCCATTTACCAAACCAAACTATTTTTGGCCACTCTACTGCTAACATTATTAAATAGGCCACAACATCTCATGGTTTGATCATTTTATCAAATGATTATACTTTCTAGAGAGATAATAGTAAGGTCTGCATGCATCTTACTCCCCCCCCCCCCCAAAGACCGTACTTCCCGAAGGAATAAATTGAGTTAGGTATTATACTTCCCAACCAGAAGGCATTTTCCCTTGATGGGTCTTAATAGCAACACTAATTTTTATAAGGGCATACTCCTCGAGTCACTTTTATTTTAGTTAGAAAATAGGATTGATAGGCAAATAGGCAATCAAACGTTAAGGGATAGTGGCAAAATAATTAGTTTCTATGATCAAAACTTGTTTTTCTTGAAGTTAGATTTGAAAGTTATGTTGTTTGGCCCCTGTATCTTTAAATAAAATATTTTGGGTCATTTTACCTTTTGTTTAGATCATCTTTTGCCTCCCGCAGTTCTCCTTACGGCAAAAAATTGGTGATATGACAACTTTTCCCTTGTGAAGTTAATGGTGTTAAATTACGATTTTGGTTGAAAGTCATTTCTTTCACCAAAAAGTAGGCCCGATGGGTAAAAAGGGATACAGACATTGGTACAATGATCAAATATAGATGATTTTAATAGCAGAGTGGTGAAACAAATAGATGATTTCAAAAAGTGACATCTGATAGGAGTACTTGGAGACGTAGGACCAGGGTAGCAGACTAGGTATGGGGACCAGTACTAGCTGAGCTGTATGTGTTTTGCCATCCTTACCTTTCCTTATTTTTATTGTGCTTCATTCAACATCTGTTAATCTTTATACCTTCTACCTGCTTGGTCATTCTCTTGCATAAGCTGGGGGTCTTCACGGAAACAACTGCCTACTCTTTTCGGGTAGAGATCAGGTTTGCGTACATCTCATCCTCCCCAGGCCCTGCTTTCAAGTGGGATTTACTGGGTCTGTTTGGTTTGATTTGGGTGGTGAAAGAAATTCAGGATGTGAAATATTAGAGTTAAATTGTAATACATTAACGTGTGCATGCTCAATAATGAATTGAATCAATCATTGATAACTAAAAGTAGTTGTTATATAGTTGGTGTCATCTTTCTCTTCTGATTATGAAACATTACCGTCAGTTATTCTTCATGCGTTACTTCTTTCAGGGACAAACTTTTACATGCTCACATTGGGAGATTTTTGGAGCTCCAATACCATTGATATTTATCTTCATCGCAGGTAACATTGATATAATAATTTCAAGTTGTTATTCGTTTCACATGTTATTGTTGATTTAAATTCATCTTTCCATCCTATTGAAGTCAAAAATATACATTCTGGGATGTCCCATGTAATTTGCAACCTTTATATTTTTGATAAATTTCAAAAATAAAAATGACTTGTTTACTGCTTTGTCATTGATTTTTTGGTAAGTCAGATTCCTTTCATTTCTTCATTAACGGAGGGCGTTTAAGACAATTGATTAATAGTCCACCAATTTCATACAACTTGTATAATTTGTAGGTTTTGATTAGGTATCTATGCTTGTAGTTCTCTTACGCTGGTATATAATTTTATCAATAGCATTTCAACAGGTTTTATGACTTGGCTGAACTTAAAAATGGGATTTTGAGGAAAGGTCGAGAGATTCTCCTTACAGGATGTTATCTTCGATCAACCTTGCGTGGATCTGGTCACCTGCGACTTTTACCGACAGAATATCTACTGATAATACTAGATGAGGTAAAATGCTCAACGCCTTATTTTTTTTGATCATTACCATTTTAATTTTGTGAGTCCCACTCAATGAAAAATATTTCTAAGTTTGGCTATAGCAACGTAGTTTGTTACGGTAACGTTTGCAACGCAGACTGGACTGGACTTAAAAGGGACTAGACAAGACAAGTGTTTGTCTAGTATACGGTACGACTAGGACTGGATAGAACGAGACTAGACAAGTTGCCCTTAGAAGTTGTTTGATGATTTTATATATCATATAGTAGTTATAAATGACACAAATAAAATAAATATTTAAAATTTTGAATTTATATAATTTTCATATACATAAGTACATACATATATAATAGTACAAAATTTGAATGAAGAATTTGATATAAGTAATGCTAGTTGGAAAACTTGATTCGTACAAAGAAAAACTATGTTTTATTCGGTTTGGAAAGATCCTTATGAATTTGCAGAGCCATGGTGAAGGTTGTTGCAACGACAATGGTGGTGGAGGTCAGGGACGAATCCAGAAATTTTTTCAAACGGTGGCACCAAATAATTAATATAATATAATATAGATCCAAAAATAATTACAAAATATATGGTTTTTATAGGTACGATAAACAGCTCCTAAACTTGTACCCGATGCGTCTTCATCTTTTGAAAACGGTCAATATATACCCAAAAATAATTACAAAAAGTATGGTTTTTATAGAATTGAGAAATAACTCCTAAATTTGTTCTCGGCGTGTCTTCATCTTTTGGAAATTGATCGATGAAATCTTCATTTTTAACATTATTATGTGCTTCCTTTTCTATGGCACAAATGATGGCAGAATTCAAAAAGTCATCACCAATTCGATTACGTATATGGCTAAATCTGAATAGTGAAAACAGAGACCAAAGTCACCAAATAGCCATGTAGCAAGTGAGAATCGTTCGAGAATCGTCCGATTTCCGAGAATCGATCTAGAATCGTCACTTGAGAGCTGAGAATCGTTCAAGTCTTCGAGCCGATTTCCGATTTCCGTCACTCACTCGTTGCTGTCTCGTCTGGACTTGCTTGCCGACTTGGACCTGTTCCTGTTTGTTCTTGTAATCTCGTTGGCCGGCTGCTAAGTTTCAATTGGGCTTTGCATATTAGGCTTTTGATTTGGCCATTTGGGCTTTGTTTAATTTGGGTTTCAGTTGCACGATTTGGGTTTCAAGAAAATACGGTAGCACCTTCTAAAACGATATGGTTGCACCGTTCACAAACCTAATTTTTTACCCTTGGGCGGAGAAATTATAAACCACCCAGCTGGGTCCGTCCATGGTGGAAGTAGAGGTGGTGGTGGCTGGTGGACGACATGAAGATGGTAAACATGGGTGGCGGCGACCGACAATGGTGTAGGAGATAGTTATGGTCAATGTGGTGGAGGTACTGGTGGTGGTAGACAGGGGTAGTGGTAGCTGATGCCTGATGGTGGTGGTGGTGGTCGGTGGTGACCATTAAAACAAATACCATATTAGGTTTATGTATCAAATGAAAGTAGATTAGTAATTTTTTAGTTTCTGCACATTCTTGTATCATGTTATTCCGCCTATTTTGGTGGCACAAGAAAAAACCTTTTTGTCCTACGTTGTCTCACCCTATCCCAGTCCTTGTCCCTGTCCCATGTCGCGCCAAATGTGGAACAATGAGTTTTTGTCCTGTCCCATGTCTCGCCAAACGTGGGTAATTGAGTTTTGTCCTGTTCTATCTTGTCCCATGTACCAAACGCAGCCTAAGTGAGATGCTCACTTAAACTACGTTTTGAGCATATTGGTTATGGTGATTTAAACAATATTTTTGTTACCTATCCTTCCATAAATTTCCTAAAGTTTTGTGATATAATTTCTGTATCGAAAGGAGTGCTTATTGAGCTGAAACAGTGCTCTTTTTGTTATAAAAATGCAATTTCTTGGCTCTTAGGATGGAGAGAGGGAACCAATTTTAGAAATGAAATGTGGTAATGATCTCTTGAGCATCGAAACGTTATTTTAACAATCGTGATATACCTACCACAGGATGAAGACGATGATGCAATGCTTCTTGGAGCACAATTCTGTTCTGATTCTTTGTCATCTATTTCTGTTGACGCAGTCAATGAAGGAGTCTCATATTCTTTATATGCTAGGTAACTCATACAAACCTTATTTGCCACCACATTCAAGTCTAGGAATTATACGAACAATCTGTTACAATTCTTGAGACTTGATACGCATGTCCGTGATCAAGGTTATATTTTATTGTTTAAATGTCTACAGGATAGAATCTATTGGATCTTTAGAAATTCAGGGGAAGTTCGACAGCTTGCAGAGGAAACAAATTACTCTTGTAGACAATGATGGTTTCAGGATAAAATTTCTACTATGGGGTGATCAGGTTGTGCTTGCCAATCTTTTCAGGTTGAATATTATACGAACCCTTTCCCCATAACAAATAAATAACTAAATATAGCTTCCAAATGGCACCACCACAAACAATAGTCTTGTAGAAATGAACAGTTTTGAATGGCCAAAACAGTGTGGACAATCATATATAGTCGGATTTAAAATAAGGCACAAAACAGTGTGGTATTTACAAAATTTTCTTCTCGTATGTTTAGTCAATAATGCAGTTCTTGCAGTGTAGGAAGTTGGCTAGCCCTGGATCGACCATTTGTTTCAAGTTTTATCGACAGTACACTGGATTCATCTGACGAGATATGTCTCGAATATGGAAGTGTAACACAGCTCTATATGGTGCCTTTCATTCAACATGAGGAACAGGTAATTTTAATCCACCATCTTAAAGATATTTAAAATGTGATTCTATTAATGATGTGTTCTACAGGTATGCGTGGCATCAACACAAAATCATTATCAAGGATCAAAACTATTGAGTGCAGTTGATCCAACTCAAGGACCAAAAGTTTCTCAAGTGACCTTGCCATGTGATTCTCGGGGAGCCATCGACTTCAGTAACTACCCTTTTAGAGTAAGTTTGATGCTATTTGTTTACACCATTTGCCAGTATTTCATTCTTCTTATATCAAGATGATCAAGTTTTCATTTCTTTTGACACCATACGAGACAAAAATGGAAATATCTTATTGTTGAATGGCTGAAACGAACATCTGTAGTATCATTTAGTTAATGACCTTACTATCTCATATTTGCTTTAAATGGCACCCACAAAATGAAAAATATTAAATTGCCAAAACATGAATGTTAACTGTTCTGTTATCGTATGTAATCTTGTGGCTTTTCTTGCATTCCAAACTTTTGCAGTTGTTCGTGACTGATCTTCGAGACAAGATGACTAGCATAAGCATCTACGGTGTGGTTATAGATATTAGACACACAAATAATCTAGAATCCACCATTTTGTTGAAAATTGAAGATACAACAGGAGGAATTTGGGCTAAGCTACATTTTGTCAAATCCTGGTACTGTTTCTTCTTATGGTTTTAACTTTTCCTATTAAGAAGATTACAACAAATCAATAGTTTAACAAAACATATTTGCTTCATGTCTCTTATTAGGTCAATGGGGAAAATAAGCATTGGCCACACAGTATACATTGCTGGCTTGACATGCTCTATGACAAAAAACAAGAGGTCAGGACATGTATAAGTTATATTGATTACTGTATTACTGGTTGTGTTTAAACTCCCTCCATCCCCAAGAGGAATCACCCTTTGACTTTTCAGTTGAGAAAACTGATAACTTCATATATATATATATATATACACACACACATATATAAAGAGGTTTTGAATAGAAACATCTTTAGAGGGAACAAAAACTAAGTTATCTATGTGAAATTTGACCCACGTTAGTACTAGATTTGAAGAAAAAGATATGTGACATGTGTACTAGTATTGAGTTACATATTTTTGGCCACTCTTCCACTAAATTTATTTATTTGGCCATTGTATGTCATGTTTTCATCACCTTTTCCTCACTAATCTTACTCTTGGATCAAATTTGACATTTTTGCATTTGATGATCATCAACATAGAATCAACTTTAAAGGGAAAACTAGCAAAATCAGTTCTGTTTTGGCCGGAAATGGACATAATAGTTGGAAGAATAGTACGCCAAAACCTACTCCACTCGATATTGTTTGAATCTTTAGAATCGAAGATGGGAACTCCTTTTGGGAATAAAGGGAGTAGATTCTATTTGTATCCCCTATGGAATTGGAAGTTATGTATGGCTATGGATATCAGGATTGAGGTTTCATGGGATGAGAAAGAAGCTGGATCTTTCTTTGTTAACTTGAGTTGCTTACCAGCGTTGTTAAATTCGTCGTGCCTACACAAGTCATCTACCCTTTCAGATCTATCATCCAAAACTAGCAACACTCATGTATGTTCTCTTTCGTATTTTGTTGTTTTTATATCTTTTATTTTATTTTATAACTAAGTCATGTTTATATTGCTTTGTGATAGGACGGTAGCTGAAACATGCGTTTATTTGACTTTTGAGGGTCAAGCAAGTTACTTTTTAACTTCAAAATCAACAAATTAGTTTTTGTATGTTGAATAGATTGCTAATGATCTTTAAACTGTATAAAAATGAATTAGAATATAAGCATTTCAGAGTTAAGAGACAAAAATGTGACGAAGTGAGTAACTTGTGGTTATCCTTTTCAGGTGTGTCGAATTTGGGTAGACCAGATCGAACATTGTGACGTAAATTTAAGATATTCTCACGCACCTTGTGGACATAATGTTACAAAGAATTTTGGGTTTGAATGCAATTTTTGTGGTTGCCATTGTGATGATGAAGTTGTCCGTAGTTTCCATTTGAAAGTCACCATTGCAGATGATACTGCCAAAGTTTTTGCATGGTGCACGGGTCATACCGCTATCGAGTTGCTACAAATATCTCCAGATGAATTCTATAACTTGCCCGAGGTAATTTTTCGATAAACTTTCCTTGCTAATGCATAATTTCCGAGATTTTAAGAACTGAACACAATCGCTGAATCACATCATCATACTGCCATTTTATAACAATAATTTAATGTAACAAGTTTTGTGATTCAATTTCTCGATTAATGTAACATAGTTTCAAAATTTTCTATTTAATGTAACAAAGTTCTTTTTACTCGTTTTGACGGGTAAAATGCCTAATCTTGTTACGATGTGGATGTTTTACATGAAAATGCAGGAGATAATGATGAAATGTGATTGGTGATCTATGTTGAGTTTTGTTTGTGGTTATCGACAGGAAGAGCAAATAATGTATCCATCTTCTCTCGAGCACGAGAGGTTCATCGTTGCACTGGTTCACAGCAAACGGGAGGGTTTTGGACCAGCCAACGGACAAACGCTAGGTATACAGGATGATATATCGAATTGGGAAATCACCCAAGCCCTGAAGTCCGACTAAAATACGAGTTCATTCAACCGGTTTTCAGTCATTTTGTTCAACCATATTCCAGAATTTTGTTATAGAACATGTTTTTTGATTTTCAGAACAAAGAGAGAACACATTTTGTAACTGCTTTCAATTGAACGCAAATTAGATATATTTGTTTTGGTGAAAATTCCATAACATCGATTGACGAAGATAATATCTACAATCAAGACATCTGTGACCAGGATATCCATGAATACGCTATTTTTGACCTATGGTTGTAGGTATCCACGATAAATTATACTCACAACACCCGTTACTCTATGCTAACCACGACATACGTTATGTTTGTTTTTTTATTTCAGGAGTAAAAATCAGATTCAATCATGTATGACGTATATTATAACCAAAGGCCGAGATTCAAGACACATTAATAAACGGACCGTTACAGTACATTAGTTCCAAGGTGCTAGTATACAAACCAAAGTTTTATTCAATCATAGGGACATGAAGTACGAGCTACAACCAAAATTACTCAAAAGCACTCTCGACAGTTCTTACGACAATCATATACGATTATCTATAACACATCAGTTCACTTACGTTTAGTTTACGTTATCTACATCTTGTAATAGCGATTGCTATTTATAAGGCCGACGTCCCTGATTGACGTTTATAGTGCACTGATTACTTCTATTGTCCTCTGCGGTTTTTACCCTCAACGGGGTTTTTCGCATCACCAATTCTCACGCCCCCTTTACTTTTTATAGTTTTGATGTGCTTATCTCGAAGAGGCTTATCTTTAATTGTTAAAGCTCCACAAACCAACCTTAAATTATCTTTGATGTAATTTTTGGCATTAGCGATTTGACACCCACCGTGGGGCCTAGGGGTGCTCATGGGTTGGTTGATCGAGTTGAAGACATTTGAACAACCCAACCCAATGCTTGCGGTTTGAAAAATCTTAACCCAATCCAACCCAAACCAAAGTGCAACCCAACCCAAACCGTACGGGTTGGTCGTGTTGATACTTTTGTACATTAAAATATTCTTCTAACCTTGAATATGTTATTTCTCTACTCATACTTTCTTTTTCATCATGAATTTTCAGTTGAAAGCTAACTTCTCCCATACCAAAAGTTAGGGTATCAACCATTTGATACAACTTATCTATACTTATTACGTATATCACATTCAATTAATTATCTCAATTTACATATATATGTTCACAGTTACTGAATATATATACGAATGAGTTATATAAAGATGTAAATAGATTGAAAATGTGTATATGAAGAGCGTACGTGGTAGTGTAATTGTCTAATGTGTATATTTATAGAAATTCAACAAGCATATTAAATCTAAGAAATAACAGGATATCGGGTTCATCGGGTTGGGTTCAAATAATAGTAACCCAATATCAATCAAATACTTATGGTTTAAAAATTTTACAACTCGATTAGACATCGGGTTGCTTCGGGTTGAATTATTTCGCGTTGGGTTGGGTGAGGTCTTGACTGAGGGGACACCAAAGGACTCTACCCTTCCATCCCTTGGATAGATAGAGATGGAGGGCAGAGCTTTTGGTTTTTCATGTTGTCAAAGAGTTGAAGAATGGTTTTTTCATGTTGTTAAAGAGTTGAACAATGAAAATTGGTCGCACCCCTAGTGGGGCCCCAGTTAGAGATCTTCTTTGGAATAAACACCCGTTACTAACGATTTTTCTCTGTAAAATAGATCGAAGTCATATTTCAAGATGACAAACACTGGATTTGATCAAGGTTTAGTCGCTTAAATGCAAGCTGAATTAGATGTTGCAGGGCAACAGATTGCTCAAGTGAACGAGCAAAATCAAAAAGTCAATCAAGAAACCTTAAGCTTTCGACAACATAATACAAACATGACTTCTGGGGCAACCGGTCCATCATCGAATAGACCTCCACCTTCGGTTCCCTTGAATATCCTTCATATACTGGATTTTATTTTATGGATCCAATATCTGCGACAATGGTATCTACAATCAGATTACATCCTCCGCCACCCATCCCACTAAACATGAATTTTTCCCACGTCTTTCGACACCTATGTCGTCGACTCCAATACCCACAGTACCTTTGCCAACAATAAAACTTACTGCATATATCCAGTCACTTCAACACCCGATATCCACGACGATATGGAATCGTCTCATCGTCAAAGGATACACGCGACAATAGGAATCACAACCTATATTTCAGGTGTTATTCCACCCATAATGCCTATTCCCATGCCTAACCCCAATCATAATCACGAAGACCCTGTTGCTCGACGACTTAAGTTGCTCAAGGAACATAACCAAAAAATGCTATCTTTGTTATCTAGACTACTTGGAGCAGCAATACCTATCGATATCTAGACAAGTCATCTATTTTTTTGAAGTATATAATATTTATATACGGCAAATGCAACAAATTAACTCACACACCCTCCTCACCTATGGTGAGGTTTGAACCCCTGACCTCCTAGAAGGCCAAGGGTTACGATACCGCTAGGCCAAAGTCCCTTTGGTGACAAGTCATCTATTTTCAGGTCGAATAGGTGTGAAACAGAATTGGAACTAGAAGCAATGCCAATTTCCTTCGACCAGGATGATATATGTGACCTATGGCAAAAACATCATGATTGCCTAATAATTCAGTTAACCAACGTCATATTCCTCAACACGCTTAAGGCTAAGGGAATCAACGACAAAAAAGTTATGAGACATTCGACAATCTTGGTCAACTTTAATGGCAATGTTGTTAGCATGGTTGGGGAAAATACTCTCCATGTGTATGCTAAAGGTGTCAATAACCAAACCAAGTTCAACGTCATTGAGTGCTCATCTGTATACAATGTCATCCTCGGGCGACCGTGGACCCACAATATAAAAGCAGTCGACTCGAGATATCACCAGACTATCAAGTTTCCAACCCCGTGGAGAGTCCAAGAAATTAAAAGCGAGTAGAAAACATACATAGAATGCTATAAAACATCGATGAAACCCCGAAAGAGTAGCATCTAGCAATTACAGAACCAAGGACACTCAAATGAGGTCGATGACTTGCAACTACATGAAGTTGTCCTCGATCAGAGCAAACCTGATCAAACTGTGCTTATGGGAGCTTTGCTAGATTCAAGTATCAAGGGTCAGATCATTGAGTTCTTGAAAAAGAAAGCCGACTGCTTTACTTGGACGCACGGGTATATGGTTGGAATTAATCCCAACGTTATATCCCATACATTAAACATGGAATCGACGTTTAAACTTGTCAAACAGAAACGTTGGAAGTGTTGGAGTCAAACAGAAGAACATCAAATATATGTAGGAAGTCTGAAATGATCAAAAACTAAACTGCAGAAAAGTTTCTGCAGGATCTGTACATACATATAAATAGAGGAGTTTGCTGTGATAGTCAACTTCTTATTAACACAACAACTACTTTATACAGTGGGTATTGTCCAATATATATACATGAACCACCACCATTCTAAGAGACACAACCTTTCCTAAACACCCATTCAAACAAAACTGCAAGATACCAATGGATGCAACCCTTCACAAACGACACACTGTACGGGTTGATAGTTATATAACTGTCAACAGTAATGCCCATCAGATATAAACCCAAAACTTGACAAACCATGACTAGCTTATATTTTAACACACCCCCTTAAGCTAGTAATGGTAGAACTCCCAACTTGTCTCTCATAATTTTGAAGCTTCCAACTTGAAGAGCCTTTGCAAAAAACAGTCTGCTTATTTGTTCCTTTGCCCCATAAAAATCTATCTTTACTTCACCATAGCTCTTCCAGACTTGTTGAATCTCGATCCAGGTTGCCCCTTAGTTCCCAAAAACACTTGTACAAACCTCCGAGTCCTCTGATCATGCCGCCGATCTTCTTTTTTCCGGCCTGTGCAGTTTTCACTTGTGAATGCTCCAATTCATCCCGTATGGACCTTAGCCATAAAGTTTGACAGCCAGCTATTGAAAGGGACATGTATTCTGCTAATCTGCTTCAGCAGAGGATAAGGGCACCATACTTTGTTTCTTGGATTGCCAAGATATAGCCTCAGATCCTAAACTGAAAAAAGATACCCTGCTGTACTTTTTTCATCATTCATAGTTCCTCCAAAGTCATTGTCGCTATAGCCTTGGTATAGACAATACCATGATCTATAGTACCTTTCACATACTTTAAGAAACCTTTTCACCGCTTCCCAAGGACTTGACTTGGGTGACTCCATAACTAATTAGGCTTCTGTAAAGGCTAGAATCTCTTTTCTTATCTCTATTCTCCTTAGATAACTTTAGTCCAAACTCCATAGGAGTACTTACTGGATTATATTGAAGCATATTAAATTTATCCAATAAGCCTTGAGCATACCTTTGTTGAGAGATTGTGAATTTTCTCATCTTCTTGTTTGTTCTTTATTCTCCGCTGCAAGCCCTCTCGAGATTTCTCCTTCCTTTCTCCATGATTAGGAGAGTACACCAACAGCAAACTTGAACACCATCATGACTGGTATAAATTTGATCATCAACACTTCTGTGGAGAGTTTCATCCACCTTTACACAATGATCATCATCAACAAAAAAACATCCAGATTCTTTTGGTCTGGTATGTTCATAGCAGATAATACAACCAACCTTAAAGTCTTCTTCTTCTTCTTCTTCTTCTTCTTCTTCTTCTTCTTCTTCTTTTTCTTCTTCTTCTTCTTCTTTTTCTTCTTCTTCTTCTTCTTCTTCTTCTTCTTCTTCTTCTTCTTCTTCTTCTTCTTCTTCTTCTTCTTCTTCTTCTTCTTCTTCTTCTTCTTCTTCTNTCTTCTTCTTCTTCTTCTTCTTCTTCTTCTTCTTCTTCTTCTTCGTCTTCTTCTTCTTCGTCTTCTTCTTCTTCTTCGTCTTCTTCTTCTTCTTCGTCTTCGTCTTCGTCTTCGTCTTCGTCTTCGTCTTCGTCTTCGTCTTCTTCGTCTTCCTCTTCGTCTTCCTCTTCGTCTTCTTCTTCGTCTTCTTCTTCTTCTTTGTCGTCTTCCTCTTCGTCTTCCTCTTCGTCTTCTTTCTTTTTCGTCTTCTTCTTCGTCTGCCTCTTCGTCTGCCTCTTCGTCTTCCTCTTCGTCTTCCTCTTCGTCTTCCTCTTCTTCTTCCTCTACTTATTCCTCTTCTTCTTCGTCGTCTTCTTCGTCGTCTTCTTC